ATTTTTATGTGCTTACTGTATGTCCTTTCACTTGTGTGCATTCTTCCAAGCTATGTATCACTTCCTTTGTATGCATACATGTTTCATTTACATAAACAGTGTTATATTATAAATCTAATTTTGCTTTTTATTGTTCTCATTAGTACTGCAGTTTTGAGGTCCATCCATGTCACTCCACGTTTTACTAGTTTGTTGTTTCATGGTGTGCACTCACCCAGCGCCATTTTTGCCTCTGCCATTTGACCTGGCCATTCCCCCGGTGGCAAACCCCTGGATCGCCTTGGCTCCCACCCTGCAACTGTCACTGCTAGGGACCCCCTCAGCAGACCTGTGAGCATTTCCTGGGACTCTATGCACAGGTGCAGAATCGCTGGCATGTAGGGGGTGTGTGTAACAAATGTGACCAGGGTGCTTTTCTGACTGCACACCCCAGGCTTTCCTACTCCCAGCAGCAGTGCCAAAGGGCACACCCTGACTTCACAACCCAGCCCTGGGATGAGCCGAAGCAAGAAGATGCAGACACAGCCCCTGCTCACGAGGATCCCGTGACATTATTCCTCCCTGCATCCCTAACACAGGCCCTTGTGAATTTTGGTTCACTGACTTCACCTCTGCCAGCCTGACCAAGCTCCGGCAGCCCCAGGCCACATCCACCAGCTTTGGTACCCATGCCCCGTCATCCTGCCCTCTTCAGCCTCTGTGTCATGGCAAACATACCAAAGCAACTGGGAACTGATTTACTCAAAGAGAGGAGCTCGGTGTAGACGCGAGAGCTCACCTCCCCCAGAGTCGCCTATAGCACATGACAGGGTTAGCGAGGTGCTGGCTCCATGGGCCATGTGCTGGAGTGCCCTCACTGGCACCCAGTGGCTTGTTTTACCCTTGACAGTGACTCCTGATAGCCACTTCTTGGTTGGTTAATACAAACAACGTCACTATGATGAAATGGCACAGGATGGGAGTCATGAAACTCTGGAGACCTAAACCAGATCACCTAGTCTAGCCATTTCCTTTCACAAGAAAAGACACTGAGACCCAGACAAATGATCTTCGCAAGACCATTGGGTAATTGAGGCAAAGCTGGGGCCAGAAACCAGGGGTCTCGTCATCCAGACAAGTGCCCTACATCCTGTTCCACTTAAGGGACCGAAATCCACAGACAACCCCCAACTTTACTTCATGAGATTGAACTCCTCCCTTCCCTTGCTTGGTCTTGAGGAAGACTCAGAAATACTAACCTGACGTGATTGGTGGCTTTCCTTCCTTTTCCAGTTCAGTGTAGTAAACAGTAAAATAAAGAAAGAGTGAGTAAAATAAAGAGGGAGGAGAAGAGAGTAACAGTCAGAACTATTTCTCAATAGTGAAAAGTCAGAAATGGAATAAGGGAACATCTCCCTTCAGGATGCTAGGCCAGTGGGTGTTTCCCCCCATTCTCCCGATGGAGAAACAGAACCAGAGGCACCGAAGGAGTGGCTGCAAAGGAATACAACCAGTTATTTAGCAAATATATCTAAAACTACACACATAGCTCCATGTTCCTATTCACAAGAGTCACCAAAGCAGGTTTTAGTCCTTTGTAAATGTCTCCTCCTCATAGCTCAGAGCAACAATTCCTAACATCCTCACAGTATGTGTTTCTTTTTTCATCTATCTGACATTCCATGAAAATAGTAACAATAATAGCAATTACGGAAATACTCAAATAACAGTTATATTATTTGTAAATAAGTTAAAATATAAAATTGACAATGTTGGACATAGGAAAATGTGCCTGAGAAAAATCTTCCTTCTGGACAAATGCTTAATCACGTAGGATGACAGGAGTTGAAAGCGAGGGCAGGAGTTCTGGGAATAGATAAACCAATATCTCATTGGACATGTTTCAGGTTGTGCTCCTGGGGGAAGGCCCGCCTCTCTGCATTGCAACACCCGGCAATGCCCCAGAACCTTCCTTTGCGAATTAGGACCGTCCAGAGGGACGAGAGTTCTTCAGAGCTTGGAGCTAATTCGATTATTCAGCCCTTAGGAGAAATGTTAGAAAGAATGAGTGCTTTCTTTGTGATCCTAATTCACACCGAGCACTGGTTTTGTGGACAGGGTGCCCAAGAACCCTTTGATGGGAACATGACACAAACATCCATGGAGTCTGTCTGGTTCTGTTCCCAGGGCTGTGCCAGGGAAGCCAGTGTTCCTACCCCATGCTGTGCGTTCCGGGAAGATTTTTTAATTTTTGAATTCATATACTATTAAATTTACCCTTTTAAAGTTCAGTAGTTTTGGCATATTCAGAGTCGTGTGAGCTTCACCACTATCTAATTCCAGAACATTTTCACCACTCCAAAGAAACCGTGTGCCCATTAGCAGTTACTCCCAATCTTTTTCCCTCTGTGCCCCAGGCCCTGACAACCACTAATCTACTTTCTGTCTCTCTAGAAAGGCCTATTCAGGAAATTTCGTATATATGGAATCACACAAATTTTTGTGACTGTCTTCTTTCACTTGGCATAATGTTTCCAGGGTTCATCCATGTTGTAGGCTAAATCAGTGCTTCATTTTTATGGCTGATATTGTATTGCATTGTAAGGATATTTTAGCATATTTAATTACTTATTTATCAGTTGATGCACTTGGGGAGGATTTTAGTACTAATCTGAGCTGAGCTTGAAACCTATAGACAGTAAGTAACTTGTGCCATTTCCAGATCCGATGGCTAACATGACAAAATGAGCATTTTGGAAAGATTACTGTGGTGGGCCCGTGAACACCAGGTGTGCAGTGAGGCAGAAAATGAGAGCTGGTGGAATTTGGAGCTTCATTCTACCAAAGAAAAGAAAAAAGTCACAGGTCCCTAGGGAATCTTGTGCAAGAAGCCAACCTGAACTCTCTCTGTCTCCAGCTCTGACTATAAAGCCATAAAGCCACAGGCTTAAAAGAGCAACTCATTCTGGGGGTGAGAGCCCAGTGGTGGTGTCAACCTTGTCTCATATTTCTTCTGGAAGCTCCATTGAAAATCAGTCCACCACACTCCTTCCTGGAATGGGCATAACTGTTCATTGCCTCTTGCACAATTATCTGCCAAAACCCTGTTGTTAATGAAATGAATGATTTGGTTACCCTTGTTAGTAATGGCACGCAGTGTGCAAAGACCCATTCCTGCATCCGGGAGGCTGGCGGGAAGGCCCTGCCAAGGCTCTGTGAGCGATTCTCACAAGGAGCTCTTTCAGGTCAGCTGGAACAGGGCAGGGAAGGCTGCCTGAGGCCAGAGGGGTGCAGCCTGGCCCCTGCACACACACACACCCCGCCTCCATGATGCGTCAAGAGCAGGAAGCGAGGCCAGACCTCAGCTCCATGCGCCAAGTTTGACCTGCAAAGCCCAGGGCTGCTTCCTCTCTGGCGTGTAGGGAAGGGACACACTGAAGGACCATGGTGATATGTCAGCTTTACTTAGGTCCAGGGAGAAGGTCGGCTGACTGGCAGCAGAGGAATCTGTCTTCTGCGGCATCCCAAACCACCCCTCCCCATGACACCCGCTGCACAGCTTCCGTCCATCCTCCTCTCGTCTCGCCTTTCCCTATAATGTCAGGTTTTTGCTCTGCTCCCTCTGTCTCTCTTCCCTGTGGTGGCTGCCCAGTGATGTGCCTCCATTTTGTCTGGTCCTGTCTTCCTCAATTATTCATGCTTACAGCTTTTCAAGGAATGGAGGGAGAACAGAAAAAGAAAAAGCAGACAGAAATGGGTGTGGGTGGGGCAAATAGGGCTGATGAGGGCAAATGTACACGGAAATATGGACAGTTACTCGGAGGACATCGTGTTCAATTCACACATGTGGGCATATGTACACACACCCACATACAAGCACTTACACACACAGACACACACACACACAGACACACACACACACACACACACACACACACACATTTTCTCCTCCTCTTGTCTTCAGGAATATTCTATTCCAGAATGAGGTCCTCAGGTTTGGAACTAGCTGCCTAGAGTTGTGTTGAGAAATGTGCCTCAGTTTTAAGAAGACTAGTCTTATGCATAGTTGAGGGGCTCTCGTGAAATCAGCAGAACCAAGTTCTCACCCCACTGTTGGCCAGAGAACAAGGTTCTGGAGGCTGTGTGGGTGATGGGGGTGTACACGGGCCACTTATTCCACAGTGATATGTAACAGTGTAAGAGATGCTTGTACATGTAGTTATTTTGACAGCCTCCTGCGTGCCACTTTAAAAATTGGGTAGCAGCTTCAACAATGATAATGAAACAAGGATAAACTAAATTATGTGACAGGAACATAATATGTGAAGAACATATAAAGTCAAAGCTGAGACCAGCTCTCATTGCTGCTAGCGAAGCTACGGACTGAGCCCTGAGATGTGCAGCCCTTCCCACTGTTGATGGTGAGAAAGGAATTCCCCTGGGCCCTGTGAGGGGGGTGCGCATGTGGAAGCAGAGGTGGGTGTCTCTGATAGCTTCCCTGCAGTGGAGAAAGAAAAGGTCTGTAAGGGGGCTTCTGGGGGCGTCCCTCATGGAAGATGGGGGAAAGATGGGCCGGCAGGACCATCAGCACAAGCAAGAGACAAAATATGGCAACCCAAATTGTCCAGGTTGAGCCAAGGGTAAAATTCCCATCATCTAGTGCAGCCATTTTTTCTTTTTCTTTTTTTTTTTGGACACGGGGGGAGTGGGGGGAGAGTATTTATTTATTTAAATTTTTTTTGTAGTCTCAATATCATCTTTATTCTTTTTTTGTTAGCTTCAGGTGTACAAAAATGTAATAGACATTTACACCCCTCACAAAGTGATAGCCGCCCCCAGTCTAGTACCCCTCTGACATCATATGTAGCTGTTACAATTCCATTGACTCTATTCCCTATGCTGTACTCCATATCCTGTGACATATATATATATATATATATATATATATATAATTATAGTAGATATTCAGTATTATTCAGCTTCATTCATGTTTAATGTTTTTGGGATTCTTCTATTCCAATAAAATCTTGTGTGTGTGTGTGTGTGTGTGTGTGTGTGTGTGTGAGAGAGAGAGAGAGAGAGAGAGAGAGAGAGAGAGGGAGAGAGGGAAAGGAGGCAAAGGGGAGCTTCTTTGGTTCAGATGGAGTAGTGACCTGGCCGTTTTCCCAGGGCCTCCTCCCCCCCACACAGATTGCTGAGACACCTCTGCTATGAATCCCAAGGATCTGAAAACCCCTAGCCTGGTCTAGGTGAATGGATGGACATTGAAAAGGAAAGAGGAAATGAGGGAAAGATGGAAGGAAGGAAGAAAGGAAGGAAGGAAGGAAAGAAGGAAGGAAGGAAGGTTGCCTTTTATTGCTACTTCCACAAAATTACTATGAGAACCAATAAGAAAATGTATATTTGAGTCATAAATTGGAGCTTCCTCTTTTTGTTGGGCAAGGCCACACTTTGATTCTTTTTTACGCCAATAAAACAAATCATGATGCACCAAGAGACTAAAGGGGCAGTAAGCATATGGGCTCTGGAGCCAGACTGCATGGGTTTGAATCCTGGCCCTGCTACTTAGGAGCTGTGTGATGCTGGAAAAGTTACTTAACTTCTCTGTCTCAGTTTCATTAGTGACAGGCAGTGTCAGCAGTACCTACCTCATGTGGTTGTGAGAATCATGTCAGCTGATATCTGGTGTTTAGAACAGTTTTGGCTATGTAGTAATGACTTAATTTAGCTGTTGTTATGTTATAGGTACATAAGTGTACAATGCTATGTTCTATACATAGGATTGCCAGCCTCAGGTCACATCCTGTCTCACCTAACAGCCCCAGAAGTCGCTTAGCTCTCCCACTGAGGGCAGACGGGCCTCTGTGAACATGGTGGGTAACTGAGGATGGGGTGAGATTTTTTAGGCCTTTTATTGTTTTGCTTGGGGCAGAAGGCATCTATAGTGACATCCAGTCACCATCTTATTGTACAGTTGTGAGACACTGAAAGATAAGCCTTGACCTAATTGCCATGATCTAGTGATGTATTAATATATATAAACCCAAGGTGGACGGAGCCTCCAAGGTGATAAGTGAACTCCTTCCTCACAGCAGGTATATGCCAAACTCAGAGAAAGGGCACTAGACTGGTGTGTCTTGCCTAAAATTCACAGTCCCTTTCTCTTGACCCCACCTGCTTCCCAAGGGTAATGGGTGTCTTGAGGTCTCAGGTCCTTTATAGGGGATTTTCCAAGGTTCTCCTCTAACAAGCATGAGGTTCTCCATATGGAAGGGGTTGGTATTATGAAGACACAGGTGAGAGCTGCCAGCAGAGTAATGACCACAACCCCTACACCCCGTGTTTACATCTCCCTGATGTCACCGAGGGTTTCCATGAGCCTGTAAAATGGAGTGTGGGGTCATTTCCCATAGTAGTTTGCCATCTACTCTGGATGTCCGAACTCACAAGCTAACCTCTGAGGTACAGACTGAGCCTGTTGTCAGGGAGGGAAGGGTAGGTGGGAGACTCTGTGGCAGAGGAAGCTGGAGGGTAGAGAAGGAAGTGTGGCCAGTCACAGACGTGGAGTTGGGAGTAGCTGTGCCAGGGAGGACAGCGACACCAAAATGACGGCAGTGGCCGAAGTAGCACATTGGGCTGTGGGTGGGAGGGTCTGGCTAGAGTAAGAGCAAACTTGAAGTCCCAGAATCCTTTAGACTTAATTCTATAGGAAATGACTTATGCCCTATGTAGGAAGCTAGGAAACCCAGCTAGGAAACTTTCCCAGATGGCGAGAAGGGCAGGGGTTCTTTGAGGGTCCACAGCAGCTCGTGCCAACGTACAGGCATGGAAGCAGGCAGGTGTGGCCAGCGCATTCTAAACCACATTCCTCATGGTGGGGAGGATTCCACATTTCCTACTTCTTCAAGCCTCTTCGGAAACCTCTTGGCCATGAGCACAGATAACCCACTGCCTGTCAGAGCAGAGACTGAGACACTGCTCTAAAGAGCTTCACTCTGAGAGCTGCCCTGGAACCCCTGGGGAGTGAGACTTCGCACATGGGCTGCCTGGCCCTTCATTCAGCGACCTGGCTTCTAAAGTTGGTTCTTTCCTCCGTATCTCATAAAGAGGAAAAGGATCTGCCTAAGAGAGGTTATTGGGCAAACAGCCAGTTTGTTAGGCACGGGCTGATAGAGTCAGATGGTAGTTCGATTCCCCCAATGCTCCTTTAGCCTGTTAGTGAACAGAGGGCTAGAGGAAATGTGAGGATGCAGCGGCTTCAAAAAGAGATAAGCTTAATCATTAACCATGTGAGAAAGAAGGACTGAGAGGAGGGAGGAAGAAGACTTGAACCTGAGACAAAAGGAAGTGGCCTGCCCCAGAGGAGACATCAGGTGTGTGGTGTCCCATGTATACCTAATTCTCTGAGAGGGTCGCCTTTGCCAAGAATGAAGAGTGGGTGGCAAACAGGTCAAGGGTACGCTAAGGGGCGGGGCAGCCTGCCTCCCCATGGGTACTGAGCATCCTGACTCTCTCCCCACTCTCTCCAGAGCCACTGCCATCATCTTTTGTCCTCCAAGTGTCCTCCACCCACCAAGCCTACCTCTAGTTCTCTTTCTCCCTGGGGCTGTGAGAATGGCTGGGCGCCCAGCAGAGCCTGGACTTCAGCCTCAGTTCCTGGTCCCCAGTGTGTATGTGTGAGTGTGTGTGAGTGCGTGTGCAGGGCCTGGGATCATCTACAGCACAGATCAGAACACAGGAGTAGACAGCTCCTAGAGGGTGACCCATGCATGGGTCATACCCTACACCATGGAGCCCAGATGACCTATTACTAGGACCCACCACCAGCCTCACACCTGAGCGGCCAGAGCAGCATCAGTCGCTGACCGGAGGAGCACATCATGGGTAAGTTCAGCCGTGGAGGGCCTGGGTGTGGCGGGACTCAGTGAGAGGCAGGGAAGCCAGAGAAGAGAGAAATCTGAGAGTTCTGTCACTCTTTGCCCCTCCCCCTTGTTGCTGCACAATAGCCATGTCACTTGGGCCTTGCAATCTGGGGGATACTGCAGAGGTTGGTGATCCCAAATGGAGCAACAAAGGATGTGAGGATTGGAGCAAAGTTATGGCCAATAAAGTCTCCCCAAAGGCGTACAGCGGGTGGTCATCCAATGTCCAAGGCAGGGACAGTAGGGAGGCCAGGAAGCTGGTGGTCATGGAATGGGGTGGAGGGGGGTACTGGTGACATCAGCTGGCCATGTTAGGAGGGATGGGGAGAGTAAGGGAGAGTTGGATAAGATTTATAGGTGCCCACGAGGGCCAGTGCCCAGGAAAAGCTCTGGAATAAACACTCCAGGGCCTTAGAAAATGGAGGTAGGAGATGGTGTCATCTGACGTGAGCTCTCATTTGTTTATTCAGCCTAGTGTCAGACTTCCTGAGGCACAGGTGATGCTGACACACAGGCTAGGAGCTGGCCGAAGGGAGGGCTGGGGGCAGGTGGTTCCTGATCCACTCGTCACTTCTTGTCATCCTCCTCTTTGTCTTCTGTCTTCTCCTGGTGGTGGCAGGCCCTCACATCATGTCCCAGTTGGAGCCTCTGAGGCTGGAAGGACCCCTCGCCACCTACAACCTGGGCCTGGTGGTTCTCTCAGGGTACATCTTCTATGAGGTAAGGCGGGTGGGGGCCCTGCAGAGTTCTAGGGTCTCTTCCTTTTTGGGGTGCTCAAGAGATAAATAAAACCATGACCTTCCTATGCAGAAAGCTGAAAAGTCTTGATGGGGACACATGCAGGAGTGGGGGTTCTGTTCCCTCTTTGGCTCTGCTGTCTTCCCTGTGGAGACACCATTCCCTCTTACCAGCTCCCATTTTATTTTATTTTATTTTTTTTAAATCAGTTTCAGGTGTACAAAACAATGTAATGGTTAGACATTTACAACCCTCTCAAAGTGATAATCTCCGTCCCTCAATCTACTACCCCTCTGACATCGTATATAGCTGTTACAATTCCATTGACTGTATTCCCTATGCTCTACTCCATATCCCGTGACCATATATATATATATATATATATATATATATATATATATATATATANTATATATATATATATATATATATATATATATATATATATATAAAATTATAGTTGACATTCAATATTATTCAGCTTCAGCCGTACACTGCAGTGGTCAGACATCTACACTGTCCATGAAGTGGTCTCCCTAATAAGACATGTGCCCATCTGACACCCTACAAAATCTTTACAACATTATTATATTCCCCGAACTGTCTTTTGTATCCCTGTGGCAATCTTGTGGTTACCGATTTATGCTGTCTAATCCCCTCCCCTTCTCCTCATCCCCATCCCCCTCCCAACTAGCAACCCTCAGTTTTTTCTCTATATCTCTGAGACTGTTTCTGATTAGTTTGCTCATTTATTCTATTCTTTAGATTCCACATCTAAGTGAGATCATATGGTATGTGTCTTTCTCCATCTGACTTATACTTCACTTACCAGCTCCCACTTTCCTTTCCCTTAAGTGGAAAAGTACATGTCGGTGACAAGTAAGATCGGAATTCACAGCCCTCTCCCATCTAAATGAAACCCCCGCCGCCTCCTGTTTCTACCTGGGCTCTGTTAGCCTCTGCCCCAAAGCTGGTGCTCCTTCCAGATGCCTTGCTCTCAGCAAGTCATCATTCGGCAAGTGTGCACGTGGTATGTGCTTTGTGCCAGGCTGTGCCAGGACCCTCAGAATCACGGCTGGATGAGGCACCCTGCCCTCCAGGAGCTCACATCTAAGAGGGGAGATGGATGTGGAAACAGGCGATTGTAATTCAGTGAGAGCAGGGTGACAGAAAGTATGCTCCAGGGAAGGGCAAGAGAGGCAGAGACCCGGGCTCTGGGCCCAGGCTTGGGGTGCTGGGAAAGCTTTCTGAGGAAGAGATCATACCTGCTGACATTGTGGTGTGCTCATTACAGTGAAGCATGGTGTTCTCGGCGTGGTATGAGGACCTGCGCATCTCATCCTCATGACAGCGCTGTCAGGAGGCACAGAGGGGTAAGTAAGTTAGCAGGTGGCCAGGCCCCCTGAGCTCCACCCCCACCTCCGTCTCCTTCTGCGCCGGCGCTAGTGGAGAGGAGGTAAGGGGTCCAGCCCGAAGTAGCAGATGCTGACACTACACCTCTTTTACCTCCTCTCCCTCGTGGATTGGTTGCCCTTCTTTCATTAGATCTCATCCTTCAGTCCACCCTCTGCACTGCTGACATACCCATCCTCCCAAAACACCAAATGGATGGGCCTCTGTCTGCGAGCCTCTGCCTGGTGGCTTCCAGGCCAGCAGGGCCTAAGGCGAGACTCTCTCCTGCAATGAGCGGGCATATGAGGCCTTCCACGGCCCTTTCTGGCCTCAGCTTTCCTTTCCAGCCTCGCCTCCCTCCTCCCCCCCAGCAGCCCTGCTCACTTGCCTCACAGCCGAGCTTCCCCAGCAGTGGGCCTTGGCACATGACTGTTTTTCTGCTAGAAATTCTGTTCTCCCCAGGTACTCTGACAAATTCATGCACATCCTGTGGACTCAGGCCATTGGCACCTGTTATGAAACTTCCCTGACTTTCCAAGGCCGGGTTGTTTGTTTCCTTCCTTGGGTTTTCACCTCTACTCTCCATGGTGGGTGGGGACCGACTCCACCAGCTGGCAAGTAACTGGTTGTGTGCATCTACCAACTCCATCTCACAACTTCAGTAACGCCCCCTCAGTAGATTGAAATCAGCCACGGAGGGAGTATTTACACCATAGGAATTGGCAAACACTACAAATCAGCCCCCCTCTCATCCCTCTGTCTCATTTCCGTATTTGGCTGTCTCCGCTCCAAACGGCAAGTGCTTCAAAGGCAGGGCCATGTTTTACTTATCTTTTTAAAGACAGGCCCAGCATAGTGTCTGGTACCATGTGGAAGATGCAAATAACTTGTGAGACACAAGACATGCCTTAAAAAACTTGTCGTTCAATTGTGGTGACAAATCACTCTGCTGCCACCACAATCCTCTGAAAACCTGCCACGGCCAGGTCCCGCGTAGCTCCCTTTGCCCATACGACCTGAATGTAGAGTCCCTCCAGGTAGGGATTTTTGTCTATTTGTTTTATTGAGGCTCGGTGCTCAGACCAGGCCTAGTATGAAGTACTCAGTACAATTTACTCATTGTCAAGTGAGTAAATAAATGACAAAGTTCAAGCTCCTTACAACAGCCTTCACGACCCCTTGGCAACTGATTCTCCTGTCTCTCTGCTTCTGTGGCTACTCCTCTCCTAATAAGAGCCCCCATTCCAGCCCCACTGCCCCCTCGCTAGCCCCCAGTGAGCTGGGGGAGGCCCAGGCCCCAAGCGCTCTTCTCCTGGCGTGAGGCTTCGTCTCCCTCCCTCTGTGTGCCCAGGGCTGCCTCATTCTCCAGTCTGATGCCCACTTCCAGAACACCGCCTGTTTCCTCATCTGGCCCCAACCTTACAGGTGAGGGTTGTTCCTACATCCTCAGTGAGGCTCTGCACTCCCTGGGGGCAGGGCTGACGTGTGTCCAGCTCTGTGTCGCCTCCTAACTTAGTCTCACACATATCGGGTGCCCAGTGTGGGTTCTCAGTCTAGATTTGTCCACGTTATAAATGTTGGAGGGGCAGATGGTTAGCTCAGTTGGTTAGAGCACAGTGCTCACAACACTAAGGTTGCCGGTTCGATCCCCAAATTTGCCGCTGAGCTGCGCCCTCCACAACTAGATTGAAACAACTACTTGACTTGGAGCTGATGGATGCTAGAAAAACGCAGTTTCCCAATTAAAAAAAAAATGTTGGAGACCAGCAAGATGTATGCAAGTCCCAGCCTCTGACCTGGCCACTCTGTGGAGTTTGTCTGATTAGCATTCACTCATCAAGTGTCAGTGAGGCTGGGAGGGATGGTGGTTTCCAGCACATGACCGAGGAGGTATTAGCCCATCAGGCCCTGACCGCAGTGGGAGCAGGCTTCATGACTTGGTCTTTTCCTTTCCCTCCCTCCCAGTTTGTGGCCACCTCACCCCTGGCTAACTCCAGCTACTTTTGCCAGTCAGTGGACTGCAGCCCTAGTGAGCTTCGGATGAGGGTCTGGCTGCCAGTGGGAGTGAACTGATTGGCTCAGCACAGGCTCAGGAGGCCTCAGCTTGAATCTCAGCTCTGCCAGTTACTTGCTGTGTGACCATGGGTCACCTGCTTACCTTTTATGGGCCTCAATGTTCTTATCTATAAAATGGGGATAATAATACCTACTTTGTAAAAAGAAACAATTGACAGAAGATTAAATTAGATAATGTATGAAAGTGTTTAGCCCTGGGCTTGCCACACACTGAGTGCTGTCTAAGAGGTAGCTATTTCATTATTTTTAGCTGTTCTCTGTTTCAGCTGGAAGCAGAACAAAAGTTTTCCTTGCTGGAAAAAAAAAAATCTAACTGAAGCTTGACAAGTTACCAGGTAGTGACTTGGATGTTGAATCAGGGATGTTGAACAATGGGCTAAAGTCTGGTCCACGGACCACCAGCATCAGCACCGCCTGGGAGTTTGTTGAACATGGAGAAGCTCATGTCCCACCCCCAGCGCACTGATTAAGAATCTGCTTTTCAACAAACAAGATCTCAGATGATCCTTAGATTGCATAGCTGCAGCCTGGGACACGTTTGAAGAGTCCTGTTATCACTCCCAGTAGCTTCTCCCCTCTTTCCTGTGTTAACAGGCGTCTTCCTGCAGACAGGTGGGCACTGTGGGAGCAGTGGGTGGCGCAGAACACGGAGTGGACTGGGGCTGACGCCAGGGCGAGCTGTGCGCCCGGGACAGAGGTCTGACTGCACAACCTCGTCCTTCCCAGCAGATGGCGAGCGTGCGCCGGTAACGCTCCTCAAAGGCCTTTGACTTGCTTGACCGGGTAAGGGCCTGGTCGCTTAGGCGCTTGTGCGAGTTACCTCTGTCATCTGGGTCTGGGGTGGTGTATACGCAGCGTCCTGTGTGAACACTTCCCTCCAGCCTCCCGGTGGGATGTTCTCATGATTTGCCCCGGCAGCCGCGGCTGAGGCTGATGTCAGAGCAAAGCCTTAGTCCCAGTACCTGGTGGAGGAAGAACACTCACCGATGCAGCATCTCACTGCCACAGGTGAGATGGGCCCCCACTCTTCACCCACGCAGCTGCATAAAAGTAGGAATTTGCCCCATTAGCAACCAGGTTCCAGGTTCCATGAAAATGAAAGAGAAACAGATTTTCAAAAATTGATATTATGTGGCAAGGGTCATCAGACAGCAAAAAGTCCTTTAGTGTTAATGAGGAGAAGAAACCCTGCTTGTGAATCCAGAAGGTTCACAGGATTGAGTGGGGGTGGGGCATGGTCATGATTTGAGGGAAGTGAGGAAAGGGAGGGGCCTCTTTCTTATCAATTCCTTACCAAAATGGAGTCGGAGTAGAGAACCTTCCAGAATTGATCTTACGATCACCTGGGTCCTGGGATGGGTGTTCAACAACTGAGTTCTCCCACCCTCCTAGATGGGATAGGAAAGCAGATAGTATCAAGCCAGATTGTATTCAAATCCCAGCTTGGACAACTATTAGTTGTATAACCTTGGGCAAGTTACTTAACCTCCCTGTGTCTCAGTTTTCCCATTTGTAAAATGGAGGTAAGTATAAATCACATAGTACTATTATAAGTGTTTATATGGTTTTTTATGCATACAAAGTAGCTGGCACACAGTAGGTACTATAAAGGTGTGTGACTAGTGTTATTTCCCTTGAGTTTCAGTCTCCCCTTTGGTAAAACAGACAGAACTACTCCCTTCTTGGTAGTTGAGGTCCCAGGAGAAGAGTCTGGAGAAACAAGGCCCCCACAGTTGACACCATCTTTTCTTCCTCTGCAGTTCTGCTTTACATTACGACAGAAACCAGAGCAGATCACCTTTCAGCATGTCTGTGACCATGACATCGTGCTCTTCAACTGGTAGGCTGGAGTCAAATACGTGCCAGGTGGTCAAGGTACATGACACAGCTGAGGGAAGCCCTACCCAGGCCCTTGTGAGGCAGGCTTCTCTCTGCTGGGCAGAGTTTCCAGCTAGGGAGGTGAGCATCCTGTAATATCACGGTTTGGCTCTCAGATTACCCTTTCCTGTGGTCATGACATCAGTCCTCTGCTCCCTGTGGCTCCTCAGAGCTTCCTGGCCATCCCTCCCTGTTGTGTGGAAGGAGGCTGTGGGAGGTCCTTATAGCCATCAGCCCAGCGGGTGCAGAGGAGGGTATAAGCACCCTCATTTAGCACCCTGTTAATCCCACCCCAGCATCATGACCTCAGATGGCTCATGCCAGACATCCTCGGGATAGACCCTTCCCAAGGATTTTCTCTGTAGGATGTGCAGAGGTGCTCCCTGCAGTCCAGAGGATTGAAACATGAAAGAGAAAACCCAAAGCACAGCTAGGCCCAGCTCCACTTATTTATTTCCTTTGATCTTCCCACCCCACTCTGTAGTTAGGATGCTGAATTCTTTGGCCCATGTCTGCATGTCTCTGTGCTAACGACTGGCTAGTCTGAGTCCTGCCATGCAGCCCTACCTGTGGTGGAAGCGACATCTTATCATCCTACAGCTGGTGAAAAGGCCCCGTTGGCTCCAGGGGTCTTGGCCGAGCCCTGGATTCTATTCCCTGCTGCACCAGTAACTTGACATATGACCATGAACTAGCCCTTCTCCCCCCTGAGTCTTCCTCAGTAGCCCAACATGCAAGAGTCTCAGTAACCATTTCAAGTCCTAGAACCAACTCTCCCTGATACGGTGTGAGACCTGGAGCAAACGACTTCCACACTTCAGACCTCAGTCTCATCATCTGTAAAATGAAGGCGCTAGGCTAGATGACCTCATAGTGCTCGTATCCTGTGAGCTTGTGATCACTAAATGACCCTCCAGGTGCCCGGGTGCCTTATGGTTTGGGGAGCCTTATCGCCAGATGGTAGTGACAGCTGAGGTGTCCCTCAAGGGGCTTAGGACGGATTGATTGAGTTCATCATCAGTGTCAACATGACATAGTTGGATTGGGGCAAATGGGGGGTCAGAACCAGAAGGGTCAGGAAGATTTTTAGGAAAATGTGTTAGGAAAAAACTGAAGCAGGCTTCACCAGGCTTCACTGTTTTCCAAAGAGGAAGACTGAACTTCCGAAGAGGAGGTCTGCCCCCTGCTGGTAGACAAAGGGGTGAAAACAAGAGGGTGAAGACAGGCAGCGAAGACAGGGCATGAAGACAGCTTCTCACCTCTCCCATCTCTTTCTTCTCAGGTTTCTTTCCTCCAGGGTCAGGGTGTGGCCATCGCTGCTTACGTCTCCTACCATCTCTTTGCTGAGTGCTCCTTTTTCAGTGGATTCAACATGGCTGTCCTGTACACCCCCAACCTCATCGCTGTTTTCTTCACCTTCTACCCCCGGACATACCTGAGGAGCAAGAGGGAGAAGCTGACTTAAGTGGCAGGACGTGAGGACAAATATAAGCAGAACAGTCCTACAGAGAGCTGGGTGGAAGACTGCGTGGCTTATAGCCCACCTGTGCTGAGAAGGTACCTCTGGACTGCATTTTGTCCTGTGAAGGAAGGAGGAGAATTGCCTCGTGTCCAGAGCTCAGGAGGACAGAGATGGAGTCAGCTTCCTGTACTCACTTCTGTTATGGCACTTCTTACATGGATTTGTGACTGTTTGTACATATTCTTCCTCTACTAGATGTGAGCCTCTCATGGGAGAGGCTGTCTTGTTCTCAATGTTCCCCACACCTGGCACAGCACCACCATAAATGTGTGTTTGGATCCTCGTATTCCATGATGGGCACTCATGACCTCTGGGGAAGATCAGGGCTTGGGGCATGGAAGACGTCAAGGCTGGCTTGATATCTTGCAGTGGGAAATGATGACTGAGAATATCCAAGAGTGAGTGTGGTCCTGTTTGATTGCTGGCGTGGCTGTGTAAGTGGTTACCCTACATATCTTCTTGTCTGTTCACTGCTGCCTACACGTGTATTTATATAGTTGTATGATTCTCTGGGTGCGAGTGATGTTGCAGAGAATGTTATGTGTATACGTCTAAATACTTGTTTTCAAATATATATGCATGTTCCCATTTGATTTTCTCTCTGTGTGTTTGGTTGTCTCTTCTGTGAATCTCTGAAAGTGCCACACTGGCAAATAAAAGCCACTGGGATTAACCCCTCTCCTGTCCCAAATGGGAGACATTGAAGCCCACTGAGAAATCTCTGAGTACACGTTCCAGTGGGAGCCTCCACAGAGGGATGTGAGAAAAGGGGAAATGGGGTAAAACGAATACAGCCATCCACTTCACAGAGAAGGAAACTGAGGGCCAGCAAAAGAGAATATACAACCAGGATCGCATAGTATGGCAGAAACAAAAGTCTGCTGAGCCGTTTAAAACCAGCACTAGATGTGTCTCTGAAAAGCAGTTTGCCTGGGAGCTGTCCCTGTATTTCCAGCGTTCCTATTCTTCTTTATAATCTCTCCCCTTAGCTCTTTTCCTCCCCTCAGTCAGTCCTCATTTTGCAATGCTTCAGTAGTCAAGAACATTAAAGAACTGTTGATGTTTATGCAGCGCTATTTGGGGACTATTTATCCATCAGGTACTCTAGTTAATTAACTCAAGGCAGGCAGGGCTGCATCCTGTGGACACGATCCTCAGAGAAGAAAATTATACCGGATATGAACACATCCCACACACTTTTCCACATACAGGTTCAGTGCCTTTAGAGATGGGTGCCCCTTCTAAGGCAAACATTTATAAAAGAAAAGAAAAGGGCTGGCTGAGTGGCGCGTTGGTTAGGAGTTGGCTTGGGATGCCAGCTCTGAGCAGCAGGACACTGGTTCGGATCCCACATGAGAGCCAGTGATGCTGTGCCCTCTACAGCTAAGATGGTGAACAACAGCTCAACCTGGAGCTGGGCTGCCGTGAGTCACTGGCGACGGCGTAGCCTGCAGTGGGGCTAGCCTGCAGTGGGGCTAGCCAGCAGCGGGCATGGGCTTTTGTGAGCTGCCGTGAGCCACCGTGAGTGGCTGTTCAATGGCCGGCGAGCGACTGCCTCATCTGGGAAGAGCACATGATAATACCAACATGGGCCAGTGAAGCGACGTCCTCCACAACTAGACTGAAGAACAAAAGGACAGCAACTTGTCAGTTCCCCTTCCTCAATTCCCCAACAATGTTCCCCTCCTCTAATTCCCCAATAAAATCTTAAAAAAAAAACAGAGAAAAGAAAAGAAAAAAGGAAAGGAAAGAAAAGAAAAAATGCATAGGAGTAAAGTCTGTTTACTTGCTTAGCAGCCAAAAAATTAGTCATTTCAGCGTTCAGAGCTAATATGTGTCCTGTTTTCTGTGGCTGCCTCTCCCTGATTCAGCAGCCCAAGAGGAAGTAATAGGTCCCAGGTAATGACTGAATGAAATAAGATTTTGGCTGAGGAGAGCCTGATGTGAGGTAGTGTGGTAGAGAGTTTGGATGGAAATTCTCAGTGATCTAAGGATTCTCCTCCTTTCTGAACCTGCGCTGTGTTGTAACACCCCTACCTGGTTCAGGAGTGCAGGTATCACTTATCAATGTAGAAAGGTTATATGAACATTATAAAGCAAAAAGTTATTTGTATGTGTCAAAACATAGCTAAATTCCTAATAATATTATTGAAGTTCAACTCTATGAACTTTTAAAATAATGATAAGCAAAACTGATGGTTAGATATTTAAATATATGAGGTCAGACAATTAAATTTCAAACTCCTCCTAGAAAAAGTGCTACATACCTCATTGCTGAATATCACTACGGTCACATTCAAAGTACTCCCCTTGGGAAGTTATGCACCTATGCCAGCGCCTAGTCCACTCTTCAAAGCAACTTTGGAACTCTTTTTCTGGAATGGCCATCAGAGCTGTTGTCGTATTACCCTTGATGTCCTGAATGTCATCAAAATGTCTTCCTTTCAATATTTCCTTATCTTCAGGTAAAGAAAGAAGTCATTGGGNTCTTAACCAACTGAGCCACTCAGCTGGCTCCATTCCACTTTAATTAAACACTTAAATGTGTATGAGTAGTATCTCAGTATACACAGTACAGCTGAGGTCTTCTAGGAGCCTTCATGGGGCTCCAATGTGGCATAAAGTAGAAGAAACATTTAGTTATATAAAAAATACGTTTTGTTTTTTTTTAATATTTGAGTTTGTGAACGTTGTGGCTTGCCAAAATGTGAATTCACTGTAAGGGGCTCAACTAGCATTTCATACAATTGCTGCGGCAGCTTATTTAACCATTCAAGTCGGCTGGACTGAACTGATTCCCAGAACTCCCTTCCCTGCATGTTTCAGGTTAGAGTGAGAATGACAGACATGTTTGCACAAGATATGAAGGGCAGAAGTGAAGCAGCAGCTGTATTATTTTCTACTTGCAGAAGATTGGGGCATGTGCCTTTGTAGCTCACACACTGTTACTCATCTGCTGAGTCCTTGGTGTGGGCAGCGGGGGGCATGCAGGCAGCCTGATGCAAGAGCCATGAATTATTGGTGAAAAGTTCAGGTCGTCTTCATCTAACTTTTTCACGCAGCCTTTTCAGCACTTCCAAATAGTAAACTTGGTTAACCGTTTCTCCAATTGGTACAAATTCATAATGAATAATCCCTCTGATATCAAAAAAGGTTAGCAACATGGTTGCAACAAACTTGTGAAATTGTCAGTCCTCACATAGCAGGGTGGAACTGTTGCCCAGAGAAGGTCTGGTTTGCCAAGACAGGGAGGCCCAGAGTACCCGGTTGGAAGGTCCCATAGACAGAAGTGAGAGAGTAGCCCCTTCACACCTCCATCTCCCATGAGGATCCAAGCGTTGATGGCCTGGGTTCCTGGCTATTGCCTCTTAACTCAGAGTATATCTAATTAAAGAAATAACCCTCCAAAATGGAGCAGCTTCATTGTCCTCTTTCAGCTCATAATTCAGTGACAGCCCTCCTCCCTGCTCCACATACACTCCATTGTCCACTCCGCTGACCACAGATGGTCAAGGGCTGCTGAGCCCGAGTAGGTGTTTAGAGCCAGGAATCAGAAGAAAAAGTCATGTCCCCATTGGTCCTCCTCCCTTTCTTTCTTGCAGTTCTCTGTATACTCCTTATATTCATAAATGGAGAAATCCCTCTAAAAGAAGACAACCTCTACCTTTTGTCCTCTGTCCCTGGGTAGTCTCAGGGCAAGATGTCTGTTACAAAGGAGAACTTTAATTAGGGCTTTTGAAATTCAAACCCTCACAATCAGGGTCTAAGATCTCAGGGACAAGGGTCTTCGGAAGTCACAAGATGCTGCCGCAGGGATGTGCGGTGAGAAGATACGTGAATAAACTATCAAAGAAATACAAGATCATGACTTCAAGGATCTGCATTTCAATAGGGATAGGGAAGACAAGGACTTGTGGATACAATAGGGACGTTTCACTGAAAACACACCACGTAGAGCATTATTAAGGGGGACTCCTGTGCTGGATGGCACCCACTGGGAGGCAGCCCTGGTTTCTTAGAAGCAACACCTGAGTCCAGAGTTGTCCTCTGCCCTCTTGCTGCCTGGGGAGGATGTGGGGCAGTCCACATCATCTTTTAGTGCCTTTTTAGAATTCAGGGGAGGAGATTCTTTCAGCTCTAAAAAATATACTCTGATAGAGCTGGACTAATAACGTATGGCCATTCAAACCTCTTCTTTCAAAAATACTTAATTTGGCAGTGCAATATTAATAAAAATGTAGAATCTCAATATTGCAAAAAATTGCATATAAAATATAAACACAAAAGCGGTAAAAATAATCATCTCTAGATGGTGTATTTTCCTGTTTTCTGCAATGCATATTCTTTTTTTTTAACCATGAAAATGTACTATTATAATGCAATGAATTCAAGATACCTAGACTGTTCTTTTTTCTGAGAATGACTAAAGCATTTATTTGATCTGCTCATCAGGTCTTCATTACTGACATGGATGGCACACTTGACTCCACTGTTGACCTATCAGACTTTCAACAAACAAATATTGAGGGCTTGCTGCATTCTAGGCACTGAGCTAGCTCGGTGTTAGGGATCCCACACAAACCAGGCTTCATTTGCACTGTAAAGGCCATATCAGTGCTTAGAAGGCTCTAGCCACTTCTACTGCTTCAGGGAAATTTGGAAAGAAAGCCAGGCTTGTCCCAGCATGGCAGTGAAACTGGATTTTGATCAGACGTATGCACAGTGTCAGACATGAAAATGGGGCTGTGCCACATCTGCCTGAATCCAGTCTTCCTGGGTGACTCCCTTCCTTGGTTTGAAGTGAGCTCCCAGGACGTGAGAAGAATGGCATCCAAGTGTAAGTCCAAAGGCCCCTCCTAAAAACAAATAAAATGTTATACATTTTAAAAATTGTCCACATCCAGGAACTAACTTTTACCCAGACCATGGATTCATTTTGGGTTCTTAGGACAGTTTCCGCAGAGTGTGACTTTCAGGGGGAGGCTTGGTAACAGTCTCCAAGTCTACAACAACAGTCAATTGATAGTTGTGAAAGGTAGGGATGGTCAAACTAAACGCTATCAAATTTCCAATGACCTTAGTTTCTAAATACTTATATTTGG